TGAGGGCCGGCCGCGGGAGCGTCGCGCCCGCGCCCCGCTCTCAAGACCCCGACCCGGGCCGTGGCGAGGCCAGCTGACACCTGCTGCGTCGGGCCGCGGGCCGCAGCGTTCCCGCGCGGGTGCCGGAGCGGTTTCGGGCGGGGGCCGCCGGGCGCGCGCGCCCACGGCAGGAGCGTTCCCCGCACGCAGCGGATGGTGTTCCTCCAGCGCTTCGCCGAGCCCGGGCCACGCTCCTGAGCCAGGTACCCGGGCGGTCTGCGGCGGGCTGGCCGCGAAGCGTGCGTGGGCTTGCGACCGGTGGCGCGGGGAGACCTGGGCGGGGGCGGCGCGGACCCAGTAGCGCCCCGACGTCTGCCCAGGTGTGTGGCCGGCCAGGGCAGAGCCCACGCGGCCAGGTGCCCCTCGGACTGGGGGTTGGGGGGTGGGGTGGAGGGGGGCGCGATCCCGCGCGGCCGCCTCGTGGGGCAGCGCGGGCCTGGGCGGAGATGAGCCAGACACGCTCACGCAAGTGCCCAAAGTTTCCCTTTGCTCACTTTGCTGGACTTAACTTTGAATTGTGAGGTGAAGCATAGCAGTTTCAAGCTTTAAGAGGGAAGTCGATCTTGCTGGGTCTGGATCGTTAGTATACGAAGTATTTGTGCCTGCTGTCTCTAAAGGCCATTGCAGGATAAATTAGTGGACAAAGTCACTAAATGCTTTTTTATGTGTTAGTTAATGGTTTATTTGTAGGCAGGTTTTAGGCTTCGGTTACAAGCCACCAGTAAGGGATTCTGGGTTCCATGTAAGAAATATTCAAATTGGGGGGCGTTGTCTTAAAAAAATTATAGTTGACATGCAATGTTGTATGAGTTTCCAGGGTATGATTTGACAGTTCTATAAGTTACGCAGTACTCACCACAGTGTTCAAAATTTTAATCAACAAAATATATCTTGAACAGATGCTTCATACCTGGCAGGGCTTTAATTTGAGGTTAATAACAGCATAGGTAGTTACTCAAATGAGCCAACATTTGGCTTTGAAATGCAGGGAAAAAGGAATGCCACCGTTTGAATCGGACTTGTGTAGGTACAGGCTGACAGCTGGCATCGTGTCACTGCTGAACACTTAATTTTGAGCCAGGAAATCTCTCCAATGGGAGACAAGCAGCTGTGTGATCTTTTTAGAGGATCACCCCATACCTTCTCAAGCTATCTTAAAATATCCTCCCTTATTCAAGCCTGCAAGCTTTCTTCATTTACATAACGCAGGCAGTGGACCATGGAATAGAATCTATTTAGACCCCTGGTATTCAATCTGGAACTCAGTCACCTCATCCCCCACACACCTGGAATTATGGAGCAGGGTGGTCACTCCTGAGAGCCCTTTGAGGTTATAAAATTGTGAGGGGAAACATCTGGAGAGGGCCCCGCAGTGGTGTCTGGGATCCCTGCGTTTGGGAGCTGGTGGAGAAGGGTTGAACTGGCTGGTTTCCTGGCTCTGCCCCAGTCTGGTGCTGAGCCATGTTGGAGCCTGAGGCAAAAGGAAAAATCACTAATCTGGATCCTGTCTTTAGTTAAAATTGTAATATTTAGCACGACATAGATTTTGTGTTTATTTTGACGTTTTAAAACACTGCATTAAGACGTTTGCCTTGTGGAGCTTTTGGTCTCCCTTTAAATTTTGCGTCTGAGGTGAATGCCTCGCTTGCCTCACCCTAGTTCTAGACTTGCCTGTGAGTCCAGGTGCTTAACTTCTGCAAGCATCAGTTTCCTCACCTATAAAATAAAAAAAAAAAGTAGACTCTCCATGGATGTTGTACAGCTAAAGCATAGCATTTGGCTGTTTACACAGGACTAGGCATATGGGGACCATGAAAGGGTGGCTGTCCTATTTGTATTTCCCCGAATCTTCCTGAGTCTTGGTTTGCACTCAGCAAAATGGGAGTAATATAGCCAGCTCACAGGGATGCTGTCAGGGTTAAATGAGAGAATGTGTGTGAAGGCGCTGGCCCTCCTGGAGGGTAAGTTTTCTGTGATGGCTTGGTGGACCCCGGATTTGCCTTGCAAGGTCACAACCACTTGCTTTCCCCTCTGGACGTTAGCCTTGTGCCTTGTCATGCACAGACACTCATAAATTCTGTTTGTGTTGCATTGAGATCCCACAGAAGCTTTTGAATCAAAGTAGAGATGTTTCTTGCCCAGGACTTATTTTGGAGTGGTGAAGTTCACCAGCCACAAGTTGTAGTTAGCAAAATGTTTTATAAATGAGCTTAATTTTGCTACTCCAAACAAACGACTTTGGTTCCCTTTTGGTATATTTAGTCCTTATTTATGATTGTGATTTTCCTGAGCCTAAGTCAAGTGATATTATCTCAGTCACTAGCTTAAGGCAACTTGGTCCCTTGAGAGTCAGTCTCTCAGTCTCTCTAGGTTACTCTTGGGGGCCCCTTCTCCCCACAGGTGGTCTCTGGGCACCAGGACAAGGTTGGCATCATGTAAAGGTGTGTGGGAGAGTGGCCTCTTGCTGGCCTTCTATTCCTCTTGCTGATGCATTTCCCATCACCACCACTGAGCCTTCTTTCCCTCCTCCACTGAATGTGGTCCGGCTGGGTGTCACTGGGGTGAGCTACAGCTGGGACCTGGCTCCTGCAACTGGCTGTGAGGTCGGCACACTCTGGCTCTCTTCTAGGTCTCTCCTGGGCACCCGAGAAACTGCCCGGATCATGTGGCACTATGTTAGGCTTCCATTTCTGCCCCACTTGAGTGGTCCTCAGTGTTCCCAATAGGAAGCAGGACAAAAACTTCCCATGTTTTGTGTTCCCTTCAACCTTCCATGGATTTTTCTTCCCTCACCACCTCTTCTCTAGGTGATGCAAAGCAGTGAGGGGGGGGGGAGGGTGCTCAGTCCCTTCAGCTTCCCCTTTTCTTAGTACTGGAAGAGTGTTGTTTTTTTTTTTAAGATTTTATTTTTAAATAATCTCTACACCCAACATGGACTCAGACTTACAACCCTGAGGTTGAGTTTCATGCTCCACTGACTGAGCCAGTCAGGCACTCCAAGAGCTTTTTTTTTTTTTTTTTAACCGGGGGGGAATATTAATTAGTATTATCTTTTGTTTTTTCTGTATTTTAATTTATAAAAAAAAAAAAATTTAAAAAATTTTCTCCCCCCCCCCCCCCCCAGCTTTGAAAAATCAGATGCATCCTGATGAGGTGGGAAGGAGGCAGGGAAGAACAAACTGGGAAAATAGGGAAAAAATTCCCTTCCTCTCCCTGCTCTCCATCTTTCTGGCCACACTGACCCGGGTTATGGGCACTGGGCTTCTTAATACATGGAAAAGACTGGGAAAGATATAGAACCTGCTGGAAATACCAGTCACAGGCTGGGAGGAAATGGGGAAAGAGCAGCTTTGAAGCTTTGTTGGTGGGTGGGAGAAGAGACTAGTTTTCTGCTACACATTACTGAGTCCAGCCCAGTAAACCAGTTTCAGGTGGATTAATGTCTTTCAAACCATTACCCCCTATTTATGCTGCTGTTTCTTCATCATCAGAATGATCCACTGTGTGCTTTGCATTTACTAAAAGCATAAGAGAAACAGAAAAATCCAAGTCATAATTAGTTGCTTCTTCAGGGTGCTTAGGAATTATTTGAAGCATAAGATTAGCCTTTAGGAAGCCTAAAGCTGTAAACCCAAGCTCTGGGTTTTGTTTTCACACTCAGTGGTTGGAAGGTGAAGTGGTCAGGGAAGGCTTCTTGGAGGGGGTGACTTAAAGTAACATTAAGACTTTGCCACATGGATGTGAGATGAAAGAAAGCTTTCCATGAGAAGGAGCTCTTGAGTGCCTAGAGACAGAAAGGCCTTCCCAGGGGTGGCCTTTCAGGATGTGCTCGTGGCTTGACCCTTCTTGGTGTCATGTTTATCCCTTTTGTTGTCTAGGTACCTGTAAACACTGGCACAGTTACTGTCATCTGTAGGTAGGACAACAGGAATGGTCAGCTCTCTAAATCCTTGTGTTTTCCCAAACTAATGGAAATCAGATGTGTTTTCATCTACACTGTTTTCTTAGATATTTGCATCTGGAAAATAATTTCAAACTTTTGGGTCAGGTCAGTGGTCCTTGAGATATGTTTGTGATTCTGATGAGTTAGTTACCTTGGAATTCTTTGTATTGCTTTAACGTGCTATAACCCATAATTCTGAGCTCAGTGGGTCATGAACCAGAAGATGCCATGTGAGTACTCATGGAATTTAGTGTCTAATAGACAGGGAACAGTGAGACAGGTGCGACCATGCACCCAGGGGCTCCTTGACAGGTGTCAACGCCTGATTCCATGCAGACACTTTTCAGATGCAGATTCCTGGTAGGAAGGACTCTCAAATATTTTTCTTATGATTAAGGTATCTGTGAAAAGAAATTACAGAAGATCTTTTTGAAA